AATATTTGTGTCTTAAGATTAATTTATGCCTTTGGACTGCCCTTTGTGTGTTAACAAGAATTTATTATTTTCACTGAAATGTATATATATATTTCATGTTTATACTACATAATTAGAATTATGATTGCTGCAACTCCAAATACGAATGTAAGGGGAAATTTTTGAAATCAAATATATAATTTTCGGGTAATTAAATTAATGAAAACATCTTTGCGTTTAATCAGTGACCAATTAGTTTCTTAAGGTACGATGGAAAAGAACATTTACAAAATTGCTTATGAATAGAGTTTTGAATTTTTTTAGAACAACTCTCTAGAAAATTTATATTTGTATAATGTTCAACACAGTGATAGTTATATAATAGAAAATTAATTAATAGTAGTATTTTATAATCCTATCTAATAGTTGTTTTTTTTAAATTATATATTTTGTTTAAAAAAAGGCTATTGAAAATTAATTCATTTCATTTATTGAAACACAGTAGTTTTTTCTATTTTGAATCATTTTTTTTAATAAATCGTCTTAAAATTTCCTCATTGACAATTGATATATATATATATGCTGTGTGTTTGAGCACACGCACGTATGCATGTTCATGTAAAAGTAAACACTAAATATTATCTTAGAAATTTAAATGTTATAATTTATAAGCAAAATAACATGGTAGTAAATATAATTAGTAACACATTACATGCTTTTAAAATTTTCTAATAACGCTTAAAATCTTTTATATTGTAGAAAATTCAATATCTAATTTTTTTTTTATTTCTATTTTACAAATTTCTTCATAATAATAATAGTACAATAAATACATTAAATAAGTTTTTATTAATTTATTAATATATTGGGGATACAGTGAGAAATTATGATTCATAATATGCAATTTTGATGATCAATAATCATATTCAAAATTGCAATGTGAGTTTATGAACACATTAATAACTTAACAATTGAATAATTATTAAAGGCAAAATATATATGCTTATGATTGAATACATCGTCAATTTCCTTTAAGTGTCATCCTTTGATACAGGACAGCTTGAGGGACTAAGATGTTTTCTGGACCAGTTATGATGAAGTAAACAAAATGTGAATACTTCAAAAAAGAAATTCCTCAAAATTTCAACTTCTTTCTCAATTTGTATTCAAAGCTTTCTTTCAACAAGGAAGCAGTAATTTCTTTTTGAAAATCGGGGGAAAACCTTGAATCGATTACGGAATTTATTCCTATAGAATCTGTTTCATCAGTGCATGGGCCATTGCTCTAACACCATCAGCAGCTCCCTCCCCCCACTTACTTCACCTTAATCTCCCTTTTCAGTCGTCGACGAATAAAGAAGATGAAAGGCTGCCTGACATTCGAGTTTTAATTAAGCCGATGGCATTTGAGACGCAAAGTCAGTTCGAGCAGCAAATCACTCCGTCGCTTCTCTCACACAAGCTCTCAAGGAGTGCACATTTTGTGTTTGCTTTAGGTATCCGGTGTTCCGTTTATTATGATGTTCCTAGCACTTTTAAGAAGGTTTCTTTTTTCGGTGTTAATAGTACCAAGTTGATATATGAGACATACACACTTTTTTTTTTAAATTAAATTTTCTGGTCCTGATGTACAACGTGATTCCGTATCGTCTTCGTAATCCCAACTCTTCATGCAAGTAGCATTTAGTAATATAAAACAAAAATTTAATACAATATTTATATGGCAGAAAATGAGTATTTCGAATAGAAAATATGTTAACACAATACATCTTAACAGAATGATTACTTTGATATATATACCGCCTATATTGCTTTTGTCTACGTTAGGATGAGGTCTCTAATTAATTTTAAATTAAATTTAACACATTAATTATACAGTGAAAATCACTTAACACGAAACGGAAGGGACTGAAATATTTTTTCTTGTTTAAAGAATTTCGTGTTACAGGATATTGTAGAAAAGAAGCCGCATATCAACAAAAATACATTTATTAAAGTTTAGTTTGCTTACATAGATACGCATAAATGCATATAATTAATAAAAATCAATGAAACAAAAATATACATAAGAACACAACAAAATGTGTGTGTGATTTTAAAACACGTAAGTTATACTTCTTTTTCGTAACAAGATTAAAATCTTCCAAAATCTTGAGCAGGGAAGGGGGCCCGGGTCGAAAGGGGCCGACAGAGCTGAACGATACTAACCTTAGGTCAATCGGGTCAAAACCAAGGGAAACATGATTTAAATAAATTTAATCACCCCGCACAGAGACAATAGGACCAATATCATGTGGGTTTTCAGCCGACTGTATCTGGAGATGAGGGGAACCGAATGTCACACCTGAGACCTCATATTGAATTTCTAGGGGGAAAGAATTGTTCCTGAGAAAATTAAACCACCGCCTGAAGATTTATGGTCATTTTAATATAATTAAAACATTTAAAACAATTAAATAAAATAGAAGCAGGGCACCCAGCTACTCGAAATATTGACCTGGCTGTGAGGAAATACAAGGGAAATCCATTCGAACCGGTCAGGAGTCTGTAGTTGCAAACGGGGCGGTGCTAGCTCGGGAAAAGGAATGAAACTAACTCCCCCCGGGGTACAACTGTGACGTAAATCGTCTTCTACATCCCAACGATACTTCGAGTAGTTGGTGATCCCAAAGTTTCCTCCTTCTATCTCTGTAATATCGTGACGTCTTCAAAAGATCGAACCTCATAGTAATAACATGGGGAATATATATTTTTTTAGTGACAACGCCCCCTAGACCCAATATCTACACAAGAATTATTATAGCAGATGAAAGAGCTCAACGAGGAGAACCTATGGTCCGAATTTCATTAACGAAGTTTAAAAATCCTCGGAGCTATATGAGATTTTAAAAAAAATTTAAAACTTTAAAATAATTTTAAAATATTGAAGATGGGTGAAGAAATGTGGCCATGGTCCTGAAAAAATATATCTAGGATTCTCATAGAAACAACAATTGAATCCAGCCGATGCAGTTGACCAAGGTGCCATAGGATTCGAGTTATTACTGGGGAAGCTCTGTAGGGGGGAGCACCGGAGGAGACCAATTCCACGTAAAACTCGCGCTAATACGAAAATATGGCAGACATCCAAAAATCAAGTCCCAGCTCAATTCCTAAGGGGGGTGAAGTTTATTCCAGTCCCCATAGGATTAACATGAGAGCATGCTATTTTAATGCTTAAGCCCTCCCCATGCCTACACAATAAGAATGAAGTAGAGGTCTGGATGGGTCACGACGAGTGTAACCGTTGATTCAAATCTTGAGTCCGAGACTCGAACAGGAGCTAAGATAAAGAGGAAAAAAAGCAAAACAAAAAAGAAACATCGATTCACAAAGTAGAAGAATGACATTATACTTATAGCATAAGTATTTCTTAACGTGGGGTATATATTTATTAAGTTTTCATAAACACTGCGAATTGAATAAACACTTTTTTTGTTAAATTCCACGTAGACGATGTCGCAGGTAACAGCTATTGAACATAAAATAAATGCCTCAGAAAGTAATATTAACGTATTACACATCCAGATACAAATTATTTATACCATTTTAGGGTTTATTATACAAAATTTGTAACAATGTGTTACTTTTGCTAAACAGAAGGAAATTGTTTTCAAAAATTGACCCACAAGAGAGTTACGAAGCGTTATAGATAATAAAAAAAAATTATCAGCTATTATATCTACAAATTTAGAATTTAGCAAACATGGTTTTTTGTTCAGCTGAGATATACAAAAAGCTTTTTTTTTTAGTTTCATTTACAATTAAGGCAGTGTTTCTCAAACTGTGGGGCGCGCCCCCCTTGAGGGGCGTGATAATTCTACAAGGAGGGGTGCGAGCATATTGAAAAGTTAAAAACTAAAGATTATTCAAAACATTATTAATTTTTACTAAAAGTAAGTAAACAAAATACTCTTTATGACATAATAAAATATAAAACGCACATTTACACTGATATAATACACTTATAAAAGTATCTGTATTGTACAATGTATTTTTTAAAATTAATTTGACGATACTAAGTTAAGAACAAGTTTCACAATTACCAAAGTTTGACCCCATTAACACTTATCTTGATGATTTTTGTACGGTTTATAATTAATTCCTTAACTGCCGATTAAAAGTTACGCGGTTCGGTCCCCAATGCCACGGTTTTCCACGTAGACGCGCGTATTTTGATGAGAGTTTGTGGGGGAAAAGGGAGGAGAAAAGGAATGAATAAGCAAAATCCTCTGAAATAAGTAAATCCTTTGGTCCTTTTGTTGTATTCCAAAGGCTTTAGAATAATTTTATAAATAGCAGTGCACAAAAAATATCGTACTTCGGAAAGACGTATATATACGTCCAGAAGATAAATGCTTTGGCTGAGCGAGACGTTTATATACGTCGGTGGCACATAAGAGGTTAAAGTCGTACTGTAGCTTTAGTGTAAAAGTATAGTATTATTGAATTCAGTACAATGTTATTGTATGGAGGGGGGCGTGATGAAAATGATGATTGAATATTGGGTCACGAGTGCTGAAAGTTTGAGAAGCACTGAATTAAGGTAATTAACTCATTAAAAACTTCTTTCTCCTTCAATCTGTATTGCTTAATTTTTAAATTCCACGTGCGAAGAACAGATATTCCAGCTAGTCGGTAAATATAAAGTAATTTTAAATTTGTTATAAACTACAATAGTTGAAATTCTTGCAAATAATTTTTTTATTATAACAATATAGAGAGTTAGTTTGAAAGCGCGCAATTAAGAGATAGTTACAAGAAACAAAACGAGAGATCAAGAATAAATTAAACATTTGTATTTCAATAACCCAAACTAATGTATTTGAAAACGCCGTTAAGGGCACACCTGAAAAATAATTTATGTAAATTGGTGGGTACATAACTATGGCATACGAGTATATTACTGTTTTTCTCATTGCTTTCTCCGTTCAAAATTCCTTATTTTACACCAAAGCTATTATTGTAACACATCTCACCAGGTAGTCGTGGCCGAGTGGTTAAGGCGACAGATGAGACCTCTACTCACCGTCTGGGGGTCATATCCCGCATGGGTTCGAATCCCATTGACTGCAACTTTTTTTCGATGGACATTCACATGAACTGAAAACATAATATAGGTGTAAAACTTTTGCTGAGAACTTAAATTGCTCATATAAATTCACCATGAAATGATGAAATGTCATTTATTGTCTAGAAAATTTTAAAATTGCGAAAAATACATATAGCCTTGCCTCCAGAATTTTCTAACGCCATGTATGGCTAGCTTTAATATAATGGCGGCAGATGGCACACGTGTATGCATGCATTCTAAGCACAAAGTTAAAATAACTTTGTTTTAGAAAGAAAATACAGCTTAATCTGCTTAAATACACATTAATAATAATATATTTTATGAAAAAAAATATTTTTCTACACAAATAATGACTTTAATCACATCAGAAACGTTAATTCTGTTTTTTATGAAAAAATTGGGTGGGGGAAATCGCAAAGTAAAAAAATATACATATAAGGTAACCCTGGAAACTGAGACTACGTTAAGCCCCCTAAGGGCACGGCTATTAATAATCGTAATTCTTACACCAACATTTACAATAGCGTTGTCAGACCAATTGTCTCTTACGCTCAAGCTGCTAATCCCAAAAATCAAAATGTTGTTAATTCTAACTCTCAAAATAGGCTACAGATGGCGCCAAAAGAACCTGTGAATTCTGCGCAAACTGAGGCCAAAAAAATTCTCCCCTAAAAATAGATTTATTCCAAATTTTAATAATAAGTTTAACGGTAATTTAAATGGAAATAACTTAAAGGAAATATTTTTAATAGTAATAACTTTAACTTGCAAGACAAATTACAGATGACTATGCAATGTCTGTGTCAACTCTCGCAATTAACTCAAGCCATCGCTAGCTCAAATCCAAATTTCATGAATAATTTTAACCAGTGCAAAAAGAAAGCAATGTCCTAAGCAAATGTACGCCTTATTAGAGTTATGAAAAAAAATAATAATGGTTATGTCCCCTATTGGATTCAGTTTGTTCGTAAAACGCAAAGGGTTTGTTTTTAGAGGGCAGAGAGAAGGTATATCCATAGAAAGACCCCCCCCGATATTTTTCCTTCAAAAACTCATCAAATCGCACACTTTTCAAACCAACTAACCTGCTTAGGAATGATAGAAACTAGTACGGGCAACCGGTAAACCTATTTCTTATAAAAAATTCTTTTAAACATTACTGCCCCCCCCTCCCCCAAAACTCTATCGAAGCTACTAACATACAACTCCCCCTGATCATGAATCCATTTCTTTGTCTCTGTTATATTCCCCCTTCCTCCGATGCTTGTTCCAAAAAGATTTTAAAAATTTTCTCCAAACGAGTAGTTTGTGTTCCTTTCGGGCTTAAAAGCTTCTCAGAATGTTTGGAATTTTAATGTATACTAAACAGAGGGCATTTTTTTTAAAATTTTGCCAAATCTTAAATTTACATCAGTGTTTTTAATTTGGGGCCCCGGGGGGTAAAATTGGGGGGAGCAATCGAAAATAAAAATTAAAAAAAAATTTAAATTTTCTTGAATGAAAAAAAAAAACTTTCTGATATAATAAAAAATACAGATTTTCATTGATAAAATTTATATATATATCGGGGGAAAAAAAGGTCATAAAAAAATAAAAATTCTATTTTGAACACTCATTAGCTTTTTTTGACCCTAAACTAAATAAAAAATATATTTTGTTTGTTTTACTGTAATCCAGATGAAAAATTTTTTTATTACGTTTTTTTTTAACAAAATATTATTTTTGCTGGCTTTCGAACTTACGGGATGTTTACCTGCACCCTTTTTTTAGGGAAGTTGAAAAAATATAATTTGTTGCTTTTTTTCACAATGTGAAAGATTTTTTTATACTTGAAAAACATATTGAGCACTTTGAAGGATTTATTCCAAGATTTTTTTTTATGAGTGCTGAAACATATAAGACAAAAATCGTTAATTCTGTGTGGAAAAACTGTTTATTTGTTCCCAATGATCTTGACAGAGAATCCTCTAATATGACAGTCTTAATGGGAGCAAAATAATTGATAAATACTCCTTTTTTTATGGCAAACTTTTTTTGAATCAAGGGTACTTGTTTAGACCGAGTTCCCGGCACGACCACTATTTTTAAAAAAATATTTTCTTAACTGCTGCTTTTTCCCCCTATGAATAAAGTGGTATAAATTGTGATGTTGTACGGCGTTATGGTTTATAAATAAAAGAGCAGAATCTAAAAAAAGGGGCATCTGTGACTTTGAAAGAAATTGAAGCTGATCAAAAAAAGGGGAAACACTTGCTGAAATAATGCATATTAATCATGTTAGGAACGTAAATTTGAGAAAAGCAATAAACATGAAACGAAAGGAAAAATTTTCAATAGCTACATTAAGAACCTTATCAAGAAAATATGAAGCCATAACTGTACCGCAAAATGCACTTCAACCCCGCAAAAGACACAAGCAAGGGAAAGTTCAACAGGGTATTTGTCGATCATCAAAAAGGATATTAAAATTACAAAAACGTGAAAAAAATGTGAAGTTTTGTTTGCAAATACTTTCCTGTAATGTTAAAAAGTTTTGGATTTGTGTCCTTTTGGTCACGCACATTTGGAACAATTTGTTCAGTTTTATTGATATTTTCTCAAATTATAAAAGAAAAATTTAAAAATCCTTCAAAAGGTAAGTATATTTTCTTAGTTAAATTATTCACTGAAATTTGTTTTTTATCTTGTATATTGAAAATAATTATAAAAAAGAATTGGGGTGATTCACTTTCGCGACCATTAACGTTAGTATGGTGCACACCTGACCCCTTTTTTCCACTTTAAATATTAAAAAAAAACATAATTGTTATTCATTAGAATTTTATTTCATTATTTAACATTTATTCTAAATCTAATTCCCAGGCTTAAAAATCAGTTCATTCAAAACCGTTTTACAATTGAGAATTATTTCAATAAATCATTTTACATTTTGTATACATTGTCATGCACTTGGTGAGGGCTGGGGTCCCCGTGGTTGGTATCGACCATGGCCATGTAGAGCGACCCCCGTACCCAAAGACCCCCGTGTGGGCAGCGATGCACGTTAAATCTTGAGGCTAAAACGTCCTCCCTTTGGGTTTTGGGGTGGGTATTAGGAGGGGGTCCCAGTTCGGGTTCCCCACGTCACTTGACCATGGCAAAATTACGTGGTCCTCCCCAAAAAAGCCCTCGTGTAGCTGAACAGTGCGACGTTAATATTCACTCACTCCCCTCCTGCACTTTGGGTTTTTTCCCCCTTACAATTGCTTTTTTATATAAAAATAAATATTATCATTTTTTTTTTTAAAAAAAAAAACGTGTTAAGAGGGGGACTTCAGCCAGTATAAGAACAATGTTAATAATTATAGTGATTTCCATGGGCTTGTTCGAGCAAAATTTTTCAAAGGAAGGCTAAAATTAGAAATTGACACTCAGTTTTTTTGTATTTAGCTCAGATCTGTATTTTTTCTTCAAAGTAGCCACGCAGAAAATCTGGATTCACAAAGGTATGTTGTTAAAAAAGGCAATAGTATACGAAAATTTTTGTTTTCAGTGCAGAAAATTCGCATCCACTATCCAGAATTCAAAAAGTGATTTATTCAAAATTGCCCTTTTAAATTTTGTCACTGGGTTTAAACTTTAAATTTTTTTTTCGGGAGTTGAGAGCCCCTTTTGAAATATTTTGAAATGGGCCCTAACCCTTTCGTAATTCTATAATTTGCCCTCGCTGTGTACTTTTTGGGTTTTTATCGTCGAAGCTCGCTGTGATTTAAAAATATATCTATGATTTTGTTTTAATCCACTGCCGTAAATACTTAATACCGTGAATTATAAATAACGCGTGAATTATGAAATGTACATTTTCAAGAGAGATTCGGTAGCTAATCGATTCGGCCAAGACTGACTAGAATTGTACGAAGTACAGCATTTTTACATGTTTTGTGCAGACGTCTGTTGGTTGCCTAGATTAAATGAACGTTCACGAGGATGCCAGATGTAATGGATATGATAAAGAGCAACATAGATTAGGCTATTTTTAATGACATTTGTACTTTTAGAAATGGATCTTGAAGGAAATAAATCTTTAATTAAATATTATTTCTCAATCTTTTTCCCAATTTAAAAATTAGAGACAGAAAAAATAAAATAATTAACACCTATTACTTAAAAGTAATTTACTTAAAATATATATTGCTTAAGAGTAACATATATAAAAAATTTAATACTTATCTTATTAATACTGAATTAGAACAAGTTTAATAAGTATTAGCGACTCCATGGCTTGTCTTGCAGAGCAAAAGTTTTTCAAAGTTTTTTAGAAATTGACCCTCTGAGTTCTTTTTCTATATTTAGCTGATATCTATATTTTGTTTTCTAAGCAGCCACCGCATTTTGCAATATGTTCCAATTTAAAAATCAGAGAAAGGAAAAATAACATAATAATTATCCTATTACTTAATTTTTTTTTTGATTAAAAGTAACGTATACAAAATTTAATACTTATGTTATTAATTTGTACGGTTGACAATTAAGATCGTGTATTGGAGCTTTAGCGTCAAAGGGCATTATTATTGCATTCAGTAATTTATTAATGTATAAGAGGGGCGCGATAAAAATTGTGATTGAAAAGGGGGGCGCCAGTATTGAAAGTTTGAGAAACACTGATTTACATATAGCTTTTCCTGATTATCCCACAGGATTTGGCCAAATCTCAGCTAACACAATTGATATTGCTCTAATCAAAAATTTTTACTATCCATACTCTATTAAAAAAATTAATTATCTATATTCCCACCTTAACCCTGTCTTCTTAAATTTCGATCTTAAACTTAAAGTTGAAACCTCAAATTCTAGAGCAATTACCACTAACTGGAAAGATTTTAGAATTAATTTAAATAAAAATCTCTCTTTCTTTGACTATTATCCTAATAACATTAATAATCCTAGTGATCTTGAAGCTAAAATCTCAGAGTTCACCGAGGCGGTCGTCAGCACTCATAGCCACGCCTTCCAGCCAATTGA